ATCGCGAACATGCGTTACTCGTCGTTCGCGTATCAGGCAAAAATACCACGTTGAATTCGCGCTTGTTTCTTCAATTATGAATCGCAATTAGATCGATCCGCGTGCGTCACGTGTACCCGTGTTGGCCAGTTGCGCAACGTGACACTAGCCCCAGTAACTTGTGACGCAACTTAAATGACAACGTACGCCTCACGAGTTTTTTTTACAAGCAGCGGGATCGGAACTAGGTATGCCACGAGACTGCGTTTGGAATCTTCGGAAAAATCGGTGAGTGCCCGCATGATAATTTTTGTAGTATAGCAAATGAGTAGTTGCGTTGATACTGTATTATGTCTATGTCAATGAGGGAAAAGTGTATGCATTTAAATACAGAATGGAAAGAAAGAGTTCAGATCAGAAAGCTTGCACGATGCATTAATGCGTGTTATATTTTCATAACTATAGTTGTCAGGCGATTCTTGATGCATAAAGAACAGGTGATGTCATATAAGCATGTTGTGTATACATTAACACTTGTGTATTTTATGTGATGATGGTATTGTAGAGTTCACAAATCTCCACAGTGACTTCACAACAAAATTATCATTGTGATGCAAGGTAAGCTATTGCGAGCAAAATAATTATAACAAAGTAATGAAGTGTTTGTGAACATGTTATTATACTGTGTATGTTTTAGTGATCAGTGTTGTGTAAAATATGAGGTGTTCGTACTGGTACCATTTAATCAGACATGGTGGTAGGTATAATATTTTCTGATGTTCGAAAAGGAGAGGAAGGAGAGCGTACTGTCCGGGACCTGCTAGTGTACCAGCAGGCCTGTGCCTAGACGCAGGGAAATTTTTCAGGAATGGACAAGCTGTGTAACTGGAACTGGAAGGAGATTATAGGGAAGAAGTGATGTCACATGACCCTGTATGCAGTGTCCCTCGTTAATAGACGCATTCTTCCCCCGAACGCCCCCCAAATGTTACCCCTAAGGCATCAGTACAGGGCAAATGGCCTTCAAGATGCAGTCAAGCCTTTTTCTCTGTCTCTGTTTTTTCTCGAGGAGAGTTAAAGGTTGACAACCCCTACCCTTTCCGTGAAAAGACGTGGCGCGACGCATCTATTACCGTGGAAACACTTATGCACACTGATGTGTACAATGATGGTTTATGGTACCACAGTACCATAGGCGAAGTCCACCCACTACCGTGATGTCACTTTTTCCCTATACTGTCATGGAGTCCCTATGAAGTAGCAGACAATTAAGAGGATTGGAGAAGACTTCGATCAAGTACATTTGTAACATTTAAATACTTGTATATATATAATAAATAATTGTAAAGGTATCAAAACGTCACTTTTCCCCTATGCTACCATGGATTTCCTATGAAGAGGAAGTAGCTGACAATTAAGAGGATTGAAGAAGACTTCAATGAAGTACATTTGTAAACATTTAAATATTTGTATATAATGAATAATTGTAAAGATATCAAAATAAAATGTCCATCAATAATTAAAGACGGAAACATTAGGAGTACGTGTGCTTATCGAACAAAGCACTCGTAAGAGATTAGTTAACAGGGACAACTATGTAGTTAGCTATTTTATCGATGGTTCTATATCTTTGCCTCGTCAAAGGGGAGGCATGTTTACGTGGCAGCGGTAATCACGAGTGGTAGGAGGTAGTTAATTCCTCCAAAGCGGAGGAAAAAGATTATGCGTGACGGGGACACGGGTTTCGTTGTCACGCGTGCACGTGTATTAATCGTCAAGAGGATTGCGCAATGGTCGTGGCCGCGCACGTGGCCGTCGACATCGGTCTCGTTTCTTAACCAATAAAATTGCTTATTAGCAATTCTTTGTTTCCTCGAACTAATTGCAAAAGGAAACGTTTTTCGAAATATGGAAATTCTTTATCTGACATAATTTTCCTTTTAAGTGAAACTCGAGGCCCATCTCAGATCAAATATAGAGTTTTAAATGCATACACTTTTCACGCTCTGTTTGATAAATCTAGATCTCTTTCCACTATAACATAATTGTAAATTCGTAGCGGTTATGACCCGCACATTTGTTTTTCTTCCGATAGTTGGCTTTTCGAGGAACGCGGTAAATGTAATGAACAGTTTCAGCCTTCGCGGAAACATACTTGCGATATTTCAGAGTGTCGTCCGCCGGATTAGTTTTCGACGAAGATGTTTTGCGCGAACGCCAGCTCTGGAAATAATCTTGCATTCGTTATTAGTTCAGCATCTGGTCTTGAATCGGTGTCCGTACAAAGAGACAATTGTAACTCGCAGCTGATTCGTCAGCCAAGTACCGTGAGTCAGCTGATATACCGTGTGTTCGAAAGTCATGCGATATAACGGTGTTTGCTAATCGATAATTTAAAGACCTATCCTATTAGAATACTTCGAAACATCTTGCATTTTGGACGCTATACTCTCTTAGCGTCGATTGAATAGAGCAACGTTTGCCGAGCAAACTCGAGTCACTTTTCAATCTTTCCCTTTTACCGATTCAAGTTGTATCAACTCGAACGCGTGACGCACGATTATGTAACGACAAAAGCCCGCTTTCTGCGTTTAGCGGCCACGGTATACCGTGTGTGGCGAACCCCACCATTTTCTTCTAGCTCTCTCTCTCATCAACGCCGTAAGGACACGACCGTTAACCGTCCTATTACCCTGAAACTGAGTTACCAAATTCCTGCTGCTCAACGGCCTGTTTTAGCACTGTCAGGCGTATTCGTAACGCGATACATTTTATATTTCTAAATATAGCGACTTAAATATTAAAGCTTCAGATAAAAAGAGCAAATAAAATGACAAAGGTCGCAGATTCTATGAATCGTCTTTCGATCATAGAAGAAACACGTGTTGTCCCGTGAACGGATAACGCGTTACATAATATGTTAGGAGGCGTATTTGCTTTGCTAGTCTTCATTCACGCTGCTTATCGCTTTCAAGATCTCGTTAAGCGTTAAATAATATATCAAGAATCGTTATCTGCTCTTATCGAATATTTGGCGCTCGAGAAAGACTCGTGTCTCGAGCTGTTCTCACGGAATTAGATGCCACTTTTTTCCTCTCGGTTATTATACCAAATTCGTGGCTAGCTGACCTCCACGGCATCCGACGTTAAATAACAAACGCGCGGAGGAGTAGAGCGTTCCAAAAATGCGCCGATAGAGCGGGCGGGCTTGAAATAGTTTCTCGAGTACGTCGAACTTTAAGTACAGTACACATAAAGGCATGTGCACAATGCCAGCAGCCGCTCACCGATATACACACGCGTGTATATGTATACCGGTTGGCCGTGCGTGTTACGATTGCGGTCAGCGCTCACGTAACAACGAGCAGTGATACCGTTATCGGACCGACACAGGCATTTCGAACCGGTCTCCGATTTCGTTTCCCGCTCATTATGCAATTGGCCCGCGATAACGCGACCGCCAACTGAAAAACAAAAAAGACAACTTCTCTCTTTACGTCGTTTGTGATTTAATTTCCGACTTGAACCTTGAAAATTGATTCTTAACCCTTTAAGAAGAGTACGATGAACTAATTTCTTAAGTTTATATAATTCTTGCAGGCCTTGAATATTGGTCAATGAATAAGCATGCTAATATTGCAAATGTAATTGTCGTTACATAAGGCGAATAAAAAAGTATTGGCACATTCAGTTCCATTGAGATAATTAAGAGTTGAAATGTTACGAATGTATTATTTCAATCGACATGATGTAACGAATGCATTATCGTACTATCCGAACAAGGGTTAAGAGCGAACAAATGTTTCTTGTCTCAAATGTCTGTCGTGCAATTTATGTTTCGACTCTTGAAATTCGTCCCGAAATTTTATCGACGCTCTTCACTATACCGAGATAAGTTAGAAGAATCTTGATAGGAAAAATTGGAGCACGGTGACGCGCATCGATATGATCTAACGTTACGCAATAAACAGAAATGAGGAAATCGTTTATGACGAGGCGTATCGTTTAGAATAATAATCCTATACAAATCTGAGTCACACCGTCTGTAGCTACTTCACAAAACTGTTACGTAGCCTTCCAAGGCTACGGGACACGTAGTTGGGCCATTCTTTTTCCGCGTTCATCGCGATAATTCGAAGGCTTATCTGACGTGTGCGAACAATAAAGAAAAGTCGTGTCGTTAAAAATAAGACCTGAGGAGGACAATGGCAAAGTGCAGACAGTATTTTCGGTATCGTCATAATTATCGCTTATCTCTGAATTTTCACGCGTTCCACGTGAGCTTACGCGCGCAATACGCTCGCGTTTCTCGTCCGTCGACACGTGACCTGAGGTAACGTGTTAGCCTCTCGTGGATACGTTTTCCTACCGCTCGTTACGTAACGAACACGTGGAAGATATATCGGAGCGGGAGAAACGAGCAGACGACCGTAACACACGCGTACATACGTAAGTAAATACGTGGAACGTTTCTTCGATGGGAGGGAAACGACGATAGAGCGATCGGATCGCGGTGGGCGTTTCGTCCGATAAACAACCGCCACGAGGAAACAGACACCGGCTTTAAGAATAAATAAAACAATTTGATACAGGGTGCAACTTTTCAGAATAAGCTGGGAATTATCGTTTTTGAAATAACTTGGGATTCAAGTAAAGACTTATGGCAAGAAAACCGTGAGGTAACTTAGCTAACTCATCTGAAATTTAAATGGAAGAAATACCGAAGACTCCAAATACGATAAAACAGTATGATAAAAAAGTCGACGGGTGTAATAGACTATTCGATAACGAGTGCTCTAAGCTGTTGTTCGCGCGCCTTCGCCACGTGACTCCTACACGTGCACGCGCTGTGTTACGCTAGACCATTCACCTTCGTTGCATAATACAAACGCGAAAAGGTCATCGGGAACAACGGAGAGCTTGATATTTCCTAATATGATTGATAAACCGCCAATCGACGAAACTCGCTTGAGAACCGTCCCACCCGCGTAAATCCACGTATACATTTTGTAAAACGTTACCTGCTGAAATGTTTCTTCAATCGATGTGTATAGACGTTATTACGGAGAACGGTATCAAGAAATTGTACTTCGCGATTCGTTGCCTTCCACGTCTACGCTCGCACTGCGTTCGCGCGTCTCCGTGCACGCTAATATAACGCGCGCTCGCGTCATGCATTTCCGCGGAGCGTAGATACCGCTAATCCGGATTGATGTGACACCAAACACAATCTAGATCGACCGATCGAGATAACCGAGGCTCTGCAACAATGCGCGTAACGCGAGTCCGCTAAGCCCCCCGGTTGACGAATGACCTCATATCATTCGAGATACTTCACCGTTGCAATATGATATGAAAATTTTACAGCGGCCTATATATAAGTTAAAAACGATGATACATACGTATCGACGTTATAACCTTGCGCGATTCGATAGCGTTTCAAAGGGAGACTCGATAAGCTGTCCATGTGCATATCGATCACCCTATTTACGATTATCAAGGTATTAAAACGTTCGCGGTTTTTGAGACAGGTGTGCACAGGTGCATTCACCTGACATTTGCATACGCGTTTGATATTATTTATATTGGAACAGGGATCGTGACCACGTTTTCTCGAGTCGGGTCTGTTGGTACACGTGCGTGCCCTTCGCTCCAAGTCCGTGAAGCTTATTACACACGCGCTTTACGCTACGACGAGGCTGAGAGTTCTGCAAATTAGGCCGTGGCCCAGTTCGGGGGCCACGATAGTAGAGAGAAGGTGGCGACGACGACGATGACGGTGGAGAGGACAAGTAGTAGTGGGATCGATCAAGGATGGGGGGATATAGAGAGCGCAAAACGCGAACCAGAAAAGAGGGGGCAGTTCCCGTTTCAGACGAGGATCGCGATCGATCGAGTCGTCTTCGACGTGGTATCGGTCACGTGGATGTTCGAAATTGCATCTCCAACATTCTTCATACTATGCATTTAGTTATTACTTAATAAAATTCATCAGACTACAATAGTATTCATTAGACCACAATTTAAGTAAAGGTATCTTTAGACATTAAAAGTTACAAATGTTCAAATTGACCAGTGATGCCTATCTTCTGTTATCATTTTTATGTTGGATCACTTAAACAAGTATCTAATTAAATTTAAAATTAGACACATAGGAACTTGATCCAACACAGCTATTTAACTATAGTTTGATAATTTTTGCTGTTTATTTTGCCTTCTTATATCGCATACACTTTATAAAATTTAAATGCATAACTTTCTTGGGTACCTAAATTTAAGTTCACTCTATAACGCAAAAAATAGCCCAAACGAGTTTTTCGATAAGAGGCAACGGATTTTACCATCGCGTCACAGACCGCAACAGTCCAAAAACCGCAGGAATTTTCCCGAAAACGTCGAAAAGATTTGGGAAACGAGCCAGGTATAGGATGTACGCTAGATAAGAATCGGAGTCTTCGCTTCGTCACGAATGACGCAACGGTTACCGCGTTGCTCACGCGTTGCACGAGACTTTCGTAAGCGTCAGCCTTTTCCCGTGTTTGAAACCTTTCGAGTTTAGTCTCTAGAGTTATTTTGCCAGTAAGTAGAAAATTTTTGGTTCGATCGAAGAGAAGCGAATGATTCAGGCGCGATAAGGTCAGATAAGATACGTGGCGAGGCGAAATCGATCGAGACAAAAACAATGAATGCACAAGGTTTATTGCGCCCGCGAATTGCAGACGTTGCGTCACTCGAAGGTCAGTCTTCGCGACAATTCAGGGTCTTTTCTCGATATCGCGAAACGGAACCGATCTGAGCCTACCATCGCTTCCACCTCCCTCTCGATTTTTGAACGCGTTGAATGACTCGCTATCGTTTCGATGGTTCTAAAAATAATCGTCGCGGCTCGAAAATTCCCAACGATTCACGGATTTGACGTCTGTCCGTGTATCGGAATGATAGTCCTCAACGGAAGACACTGGGAGGGTTTGGTTCAAAGTCCTGTAAGTTGGGAAGATAAGGATTGCAAGCTTGGAAAAGGAAAAGACTGTCAAAAGTAAAACACGAATACTCACCAATTTTGAAAGATTCTCTGGAACACGATCGAACGACGGAACAGCGATCCACTTTAGCCACGTCGATGATTGTCAAACTCAGACGCGGCTCCTCGGTCGATCAGTCAAAAAGTTTTTATCCGCGATACACGGAGACGGTCACTGGTTGATTCGACGAACCAACGTAACGAGAATCACCGTCATAACGAAACGTCTTCTTGTACGAATAAGTAAAATCCAACGGGATCGCTCCTGTTGCTCCTCTCGTCGAACGTGGTCGCGATATCACACCAAAAGCAAATAAAAGCCCGTCGATGATTCTCGGCAAACGTCTTCGACGAGGGAAAAATCGATAAAGAAGGCACACGAAGAAAACACTGAGCGTGTCGATTGAACTTGAACTCTGTCGAGCAGGTGACGGTGTCAGGTCCTCTGTTGTAGCAGAGATCTGGTCCGATTAAAACGACGAGACAGAACACGAGTGTTCCACGGCAGAGACGCACGTCCACTCGCTTAGGTGTCTGCCTGCAAACTGACTGCACTCTGCGCGAGACTCGCGACTGCCGTCTTGGCCCCAATGTGCTCTGGCTTCGGAGTTTGATGCGAGGAAGGCTGACGCGAGCGGTCACGTGTGTCCGTGTGTACGTGATCGCGTCTGGCGGCGTTGTGCCTTCGATCGTCGTGGTAGTGAGAAGCTTTTCGACGATGGTGGGGTCAGATCCACCCGCCGGGGGAAGTTTATGCCTGGTTTATGCTCGGTTTATGTTCGATCCCCACCGCGTCACTGCCAGCCCGTTCTGCGTCAGAGTGCCGACCGTTTCGTCCCCACTCTTGCTCTTCCCTCTTCCCCTCCGACCAGTGTCGTACTCTTCCCCACCTCGACGCTTAGGTGCATCAAATCTTTCGAACATTTTGCCGTACGAGCGATTAGATTGCGGCGCGCGACCACGCCGAGCGCCTCGTCTCTTTCGTGCGCCTCGTACGCCTTCTTTTTTATCTTGCTTTGTTTATATTTCTCCTCTCGAGTTTGTTGTTGATCTTTCGCAAGGATTTTCTCTTAGTCGTAGTAGATTTTTATTCGGACTTTATTACAACCTTCATCTCATATCGAAACATTTGCTCAGCGAAAGCATGACGACATCGGTGCCGTTTCGAAATGTTGCATAAAGTTACAAGCACCTTATCTTTACATAGGGTACTATAGACTTGCATAGACTTGGATTAGAGATTTATCTAATTGTTAGTATAGGTAGTTTATTAGCAAAATGATTTTGTGATAAAAATCTTTTGCCATACTAATGTCATACTTTGTCAAAAGTGTCGTACTGATCTGAAGTTTCCTAACAAATATCAGGACAACATATAGGCTCGAGGCAATATCCGAATCATCTTAATATCCTAAAATTTGTCCACCAATTTGCCCTGACAAACCGATATCGTTCGAACAGACACGCGATGACTGTCGCACCCAAAGCACTTCGTGAACAGGTCCGCTTTAAGGTTTCGTGTTAGGTCACAAGTTTTTTACGGGGTTTTTGCGGTAGGAGAAAAAAGACGGACTAAGAAATTGATGTCGGGATGGGGTTAGTAGGCGTGGCGGACAGGTCGAATTTTCATCGTTGGCGAAAAACAAAGAGCCTGAGGTCTGTGGTGAGCGCCACTTGGACGAGTCGGTTGCAAGGACCCTCCGCCTCCTGCTTCACCTCCATCCTCTACGAGCCGAATGCCAGACAACGAGGGCATCAGCCCCCATGAATCACCGTCGGTCACCTTCGCTTTTTATGCAAGCATGTTCTCACCCAGGCCTAGCCGGTTGAACGAATCCTCGCGACCGTGTGCCGCCGACTCGAACGTAGAAATCGATACGGAAATTTGCGTTGCAACGTAATCACGGGAAATTAAGCGAGAGGAATCCTCATCAAAGGGGAGGTCTCCCTTCAAGATCCCTTATTAACGACTGATTACGTTGATCATTTCTCGCCTGTGACATAACGCAAGAATTTTAAAGCTACCGAGGATATACGCCAATGTGTAAACTCATTGTTCCCTGAGCTCTTGCCAATTTTTTGAGAGCGCCATTGTGCGAAGATCGCGATTTCAGCCGCGTTTCGTTTGCATAGATCGCGCGTACGCGCATAATGATCGCTCGACGCGTTTATTATGGCGGGCGAATTTGGAATTTCAAGGACGCGTCGCTACGTGCATCGCCTCGATGGCGCGGCTGTCCGTTGCACTTTCCATCGTGTCGATGGTTTTTCTTCGGTCGAAATAAAAAGCTCGCGATCGATTGGTCCGATGCCAGATTTACCAAAGTTTTGTAACGACGAAGAAAACTACGATCGGAGCGACGTTCGACTCGTTACGATGCACAAGTCACGCGTTCACGATTCCTTAAATACGATATTTATTTCTATTGTGCGACGGCGTAATACGATGCTTATAACTGCGGGGCGCAATAACTATTTCTAAACGCTGCGTCTTTGGGTACTTGTGTCGCACCATATCAAAAGTAAAAGGTAAAACTGCGGAAATTTGCGTAGTTTAAGAAAAGGCAATTGCGCAGTTAATCGCGCAGCTCGCTATTTGGCTCGCTTCTTTCGAAAACGATCCCCTCAATTGTTGCGTTGGTCGAATAATCCGAGGTTATTTTCGACGTTTCATTTACTTCGTCCACGACCCCGCTTTTCCAGAAATAGACACTTCGGGCATGCAGAAAAATGGAACGTAATTGATGCGCGGGAAAAATGTAATACGTCGCAACTGCAATTTCGAATAAAGATATTTTTGCGGTTCACGACAAAACCCGCTCAAGAAACGTGGGGAAGCTCGCTCTCTGGAGAATGTATCCAACTTTCATCGGCGTGCAATCCGTTTTATTTTCTATTTACCAACGCGGTTTTGCCCGTGGAAAGAGGCCCGTTATAATTAAATCCTTTCCATTCTCCGTGAGCGGCGGGCATCATCGTCGAGCGAAACAATAGGAGACGTTCGAACGGCGGAGAAAATTTCCGCATTGTTTTTCGCGTTCGCGAAATCATCGTTAGCGCGATTTGAAAAGAAAGTCGACTGTCGGCCAATCACCTCGTTTATCGTTGGTGAACGCGCAAGGCCGCGGTGGGACCTCGACTATCTCGATTAAAACGAGCTTTCTTCGCCGTTTCGAAATCCTGGTGCACACGACCGGTTCTGCGGTTCGTCCACGGTCAGATACCGCCTTTCCTTCGACACCCAATTAACGTGAACCGCTGGGAAAATACTGCCAGCTATAATCAGTTCTCGCGGATCGAATTACCGATTTCGAAACACTCGAGCTTTCAGTACTTCTTAATTTAATTTGTCCTTAATTTGTTAGTTCATTTAGTATCATTCCGAGGGATTTCTTAGTATCATACTTCCATAAGACGTTTTTATCAGAAGTCTGCAATTAGGAGATAAAAATCGAAGGTCCGTGGGAAATCGCTGATTCGCCTCGGTTCAATTCCTCGATTAATAAAATAATTACTTAAGGCGATTTCAAGCCGCTTTCGTAACGCGACCGTTCGAAAATAATGCTCTCCTATTATCTAAGAACATATTCATCCGACTGTTGCTCGCGTGGCCATTAATGCACCGGAGAGAGTGCATATTTTGAATAAGAAGCTCGTTTCAACCATCATTTCCCCGTCACTGCAATCGCTGCTCTCTCTCTTTCTTTCTTTCTTCGAGAGAAAGTGTAACTGTTCAAGTAATAGTGACGATGCAAGTGTAATCCAGATTGCGCGTGCGAACGTTTCAGTTAGCGTGTCTGCATTTCTATTCCGCGCGTACACCTTCTTATGTATTCTTAATACACACACCTACGTGTTCTGATATCATGTTTGATCGTAATTAAATCGTCATTCGATGGAGATTTTTAAACGCTTTCGTACCGGGGATACAGGTTCACTCATTTAACGCGATATTTTTTAATTTTCATGTACTTTCATTCGTCTATATAATTTTTTGTGGTGTGTACTTTTATTTCTG